ATACTATTGCTTGTGAAGCCTGCATATTTTACTTATTCTGTACAACGATGAGAAGGAAAGAAAAAAGTCGTGGTATAATGCACATTATTTTCAGCCTTCAATTAATTTTGTTCTTTTCTCCGTCGCTGAAGCCGTTCGAGCAGTGAATGAGAGAACAAGCAAAACAACGCTTATATAGGTATGAAAAAAATATCTCAATGATGTATGATCATGTGCTATTCTACACATATGGATGAATGCAAAAAAGCAGATTTACTTTACGATGCATCCGTAGGCAATATAATGCTTTCGTTTCTTGCATAGAACGGCTTTGATAATTACACTATTATTCTAGTCATGAACATACACGATTTTACATGAATACACTGAGCAAACATTTTCCGCTTGAAAAAGTAGTCTTTTTAGAAGTTTTTATATCAAGTTAGAGAGCAAAACTTCTATTTGATAATTTGGAGGATGATCGTTCTTTAAGTATTAATAAATCGAAGCAATTCAGTTACAGTATTTTTCAATGCATCTTAGTTATAAAGGAATGGCTGTACGCAATCGATTGATTGTATTTTTAATATTTGCTATTCATATTAGTCATCATGAAGTGTTAATTTAGAGTTTACTAGTGAAAAATGTAACAGAATTGCTCATAATTCATGTCACACAATGCGTACGATTGTTATACATACTTAGCTTCGAGTTGTTAGTTTTAATATTTATACGAACGAACTCAAATCAGAAAGCAAATCATGGGAAAAGAGTTTCGATAAAGCAATACAAAATAGACATTTTTATCGTTATCACTTTATTTCTGTACACTCAAGTCGCGTAGAATAAGCCGATGTCATATAGTCCTATCTCTTAAGATTAGCCGTACAAAAAGAGGAAGTGAATCATTCGAGCATGAATTGTTCTCAACTCTGCTCATATTGAGTTTATGTTTCTTACTTCAATTGATTCATTACTGATCCTTATGAGAAGAATACTGTTTATGATAAATTCCATAGCAGGTAACATCTTTTGAAAAGGCATTCCGAATTTACTTCTGTGGAGGGTACATTCTTTCTTTTTCATCGGGAAACCAATTACTAATTAGTTGGTAATCATGGTAAAATACAGTAAAGCAAGTCATTTTGAAGATATTAAAATCTGTCGCGACCTATCATAGACTAGAAATTACTTAATGTAGGAAATCAAATAGTGTGTGCAGAATATTTTGTACAGGTCGAATAATTATATAATCGTATAAAGCAGTCAAGCAATAAAAAACGTCAAAACTAAAGGATTATGTTTACTCGAAATAGTAGGATGGCTTAATTTTTTATGCTTCACAACTCTTCTTTTATTGTGTAGCTTTCGAAAAAATATCGACAAATGTTCGTGCCTCTATTTGATACAGATTAATTAAGTACTATATTTTCAATGTTTAGACATTGCAGCTTCCGTGAGCTTAACCAGTAAGTAAAGAGTTCCTTGGTCTCAATCCTATTCAGTTCTTGAAAAACCCCATTAGGGTCTTGTTAAGTTTTATTTACAGTCTGGTTTCGAATCCTAGTAATTCCCGTTTCCAGGATTTTTCAAGGTGAAATAAGATCCTATTTTGAATTTCCTCCCGACTCTATCAAGAATCTTCTCAAAAATTTTATAATTTTCTTGTCAGGAGTTAGGTGAGATCATCCTATCAGGATCCTTTCAGGATGGATAGTTACATCAGACGAGAATATCGACAAGCAAACAACTAGATCAGTTATAATACAAAACTGACTCATTCTGCAAACTTTCAATCAAGACCTTATTCAGAACTTTTCGATAATATGCGTTTCGAAATCTTGCATGACAATGTCAATCCTAATTAAGGTCTTGATAAGAAAATATAAAGACTTAGTCATAAATCTCACGGATTTTGTCAGGCATGATTCACAGTTCGATTCAAAATTTCTACCAGTTCTTGCCCGGACTTATTTCTGAATTGAGATTGTAAGATCATACTAAGATTCATTGTTAATTCTATCCAGAAACCTGACAAAAATCATAAAGAGAATTTCGTCAAAATTTCATTAGGTTTGAGTCAAGATGGCTTCAGGATTCTGATACGCGGTTCTAGCCAGGATTTAAAATCAAATCAGAGAAGGATCATACTATGACTAAGCCAGGATTAGTCAGAATCTTCAATTGGGAAGTCCTGTCAAACTTTGATCAGGTTCTTGAACGGAACTGTTCAAGAATACACATTCCAAATGATAAAATAGAATACAAGTAGGATCAGAATGTTGATAAGAAAATAAATCAAGTTAGTGAAGATCTTTCCAAGTGTATTTTTTCGGGACTATTAAACATTTATTTCTTATAGATTCTGTCAGGAGTCTAGCAAGGATAAATGAAACGGTTCCGTAGCGTTTTTACACAGGTTCAGCTCAGGATTCTTTCAAGATTTGTAATACAATAGATGACAACCGAATTTCAATACCAATGTTGAGCAAGACCTCAATAAAAAGAAATAGAAGGATTTGTCAAGATGTTCTTGTGTTTTTGTTCGGGCCACGACAAAATTCTGGGAGCGGAATAATCTAATGTCATTCTTCATAAACACATAGAATCAATCTTAGAAATAATTTCTAGATCTCTGTGAAGTTTAGATAAAATTTACTTTGAGATTCGAACTATAGTCATTAGTTCTTTTACTACTCTTATCAGGAACAGAAAATTAAAAATCATTAAATTAGGATGTTAACTTGAATTTAGTTAACGTAAAGATTTTTCTTTAAATAGATAGTTTTAGTCAGCAGCAAATCTTTTGATAAAATTTGCTTACAACTTTGATTATGTTCGAAAAGAAGTTCAAAATATATTTTTTCAATCGAATCAAAGTAAAAAGACTAGTGATATTTTACCGACTAAAATAAAGATATTAAATGGTGTTACATTCACTGAACGATGTAAATGAATTAGAAAGTAATACAAAAAACATTAATTACAAAATAATTGAAAACCAATATCACAGCAGGATCTATCAGTGTGAGTTTAGTACCCGCAAAACGACTTATATTGCATCTCTCTCCAATGTGGATGCCGCGAAACCCAGTAGACCCTACTAGACCCTGTTGTTTTACGGATTTCTTTTAATTATTGTGTAAATAATGCTTTTTGAAATACTATATAATTCATTTTCGTGATGGTCTCGTTACCTTTTTAGAATTTTCTGAAACGATTGTTATTTACATAGAATTCAAAGAGTTAATTAGTTATACCCATGTTACCTGGCGGTGTAGGGTGAAACATAAAAGTGCCAAAAAAAACACATACACAATAGTTTAGAATAGAATTTAAGTGTTCTTTACAGCCTATGTAATGTTCGTTCTCATCAAACATTGACTCATAGTATATCATTCAACTATTATCCTCCATCATGGTTTAAATGGTAATCTTCATTGCACCAGTCAGCCAATATTTCATTTGTTTCATTACTATTTTAACTTGATTCTGTGCTTTTTACAACATTCTTTTGCATACAACTTTACATGTGCAGTGATGCCTTGTGGTTTAAACCGTCCACTACAATTGGGACATGTATCATAATTGTTCGAATTTTTGATCAATATTTCTGTTACTTGCTCTTCTATAAGGCCGCGTTTCGCCATCGAATCTTGAAACCTTTCTTTATCCGCTTGTTCTTTATATTTGATCACTATGTTTTTGATGTTTGAATGAACAGCAGAAACTTGTAGATTTTGATTAATTAATTGTCTACAATAATCTCTCTTTCTGGTGTCCCTTCTTCAGTTTTTAATACCAAAATTCTCGACATATTTCAGTATTTTGTACTCCCAACGTTTTCTGATACCAATATTTTGAGGACATTTGCTACCAGAAAAGTATGAAAACGTGACTTTTTTATTAATGATACGTGACTATTGTCAATTTCCCTTCTGCTTACATGGCCAAGCCATCTTAAAGGATTTCTTCTCATAATGTCTTGAATTGTAGGTTGACCAAATAATTTCAAAATTTTACCATTTGATATGCGATCACTTAGATTGAAACCAAGTATTGTGCTTAAACATTTCATGTAGAAACTATTTCTGTGGTTTTCTTGAGCAACTGTCAAGATCTATACTTCACTATCATATAAAAGAACAGGAAATACGCAGGCTCGCAAAATACGTAATTTCGCATTTATAGAGATTGCTTTTCTATACCAAGTAACATTTCTTAACGTGCTGAATGCTGTTCTTGCTTTTATTACTCTAGATTCTATTTTCTTATCAGGTCGTTTATTTCTAGAAAGTAAACATCCTAAATAAAAAAAAACGAGTCTGTTATTTCAATTTTTGATTTCTAATTGTAAAAGAAATATCAGGTTGACTGGTTTCTCGATTCTTTTAAAAGTTTTCCATTCATATGTTGTTTAAAATGTTGTAAGAACATTATACATGTCTTCTGCACATTCATTATTTAGCCATCTTTTTGTGTTTTTTTTCAAAAACATCAATAAATTTTTGAAGATCATTTATGTTATTACGCATGGCGAGTAGGTCATCCGCATAAATTAATGTTTGAATATTAAATTTTTCGTACTTTTCTCGATCACCATGGTACAAATCATTGCTACCATAGGCTAATTTAATACATGTCAGTGATGCTTCTTCCAACACCTGCCTGGTAATGAAATTGAATAGGATATTATGTAAAACCGGTGAAGATATTCCTCCTTGCATAACACCAGTTGCAATAACAAAACTTTCGGAAAACACACCATTCAGTCCTACCTTTCCTCTTGTATTTTTATATATAAATTTAAGTAACCGAACGATTTTTTCTGTTAAATTATAATGTTGACAAATTTTTCATAATAATTCTCTATTCACTGAATCATAAGCTTTTTGAATATCTATAAAACACAGGAACAGTGGTTTATTATATTTTCTCAATTTTTCCATAATCATTTTAACTATAAATATTTGATCGTTAGTTGAACAGCTGGATCTAAAACCTGCTTGTTGTTCTAATAATTATTTATCAATTAATTTTTGAATACGATTAAGGATTACTTCAGTAAATAGTTTACTTGCTACCACTAATCGAGAGATGCCAAGATAATTATTGCATTTTTTGTCATCTTTATTTTCCAATAAACGAATTAAAATGGCTAAGATCCACTGGTCGACTATTTCTTCATTTTGCCAAATATCAACAAATATTTCATGAAGTCGTTTAAGAATAAATAATTCACCTGCTTTGAATTTGTCAGTACTAATATCGTCATTATCAGGATCTTTTAGACTTTTCATTGGTTCTAATGCTTGATCGAGTTCTTCTAATGTCGGTGGTTTATTCTGTCTATCTCATTCTGTTGCTGGTATTGAAGGTGTCGAGATGTAGTAAATAACATTTGAACTAACAATAGATTTAATATTGAATAACTCATAGAAGTATTCTTTCCGTCTGTCCAATTTATCCAAAGAATTGACAAGTAACTTACTATTTTTATCTTGAACAGCACTATTCTCTGAATTTTGTTGTCCACCTTTCAATCTTCTAATCATTGCATAAGTAGATGCCGGATCATGGTTAAGGATAGCTGTTTCAATTTCTTTACTTAATTCATCCCAGTATACAATTTGTTTTTCATGTACCATTGATTTAACTAATCTTCTATAAATTACGTATTCCTTTTTATATTTCTTCTTTTTCGGCGTATCTTGCTATTTCTGCCATATCAAATAAGCAGATGATTTCTTCTCTACTACCTTCAATATATCATCAGTCATCCATTCTTTTCTCTTGTTGTTGATATTGTTGTCTATTTTAAAATGCATTTGTGCACCTTCTTTAATACATTGTACAAAAGTGAAGTTTTTTTGTAATTAATATTAGCATTATCATCATCTTTTTTATCTTCAAAGTGATTAACTATGTTTTCATCTTGTGTGTTGAAACGATTTAAACGTAACCAGTTTTATTGAAACTTTCTTCTTCTGAATTTCAAATGCAATTTAATTTTAGATCGCATAAGATGATGATGAGTTCTAATACGTCCGGCTGCTCTTCTATAAACTGGCACAACTTCAATACTTCATTTTAAATTTCTTGTTCACTAATGTATAGCCTTATGTTGAAAAAAGTGTTTGAAATAACTATATCATTTGCTGGGCAAAAATCAGTCAGTCTAATGCCATTTTCATTTTTAGCATCAACTACATGGGGTCCGACAATCTGAAATATAGTTAAATGCTCTTGTTTATTAATAAGAGCATTAAAATCTCTCATTAAAATAATCATATTACTCTTTGGCACCTTATCAATCGTCTCTTGTAATTGCAAATAGAATTAATCACATTTATCGATCATAGATGTGTTCTATAGATTAATTCGAGCGTAAACAGCAATATAAGTTACATTTATTGACGCACAATACATTCGAATCTTAATAATTCTTTCATTAACCGCCTTCTATTCTGAATCTGATGATTTCCAAATATTCGTTGCTGTTTTATTTAAACGAATCGCTAAACCATGTGCTGATCTGGTTTTGTTAACTTTGGAAAGTCCGGAATACATCATTGTAAAATTACCTATTAAATTTATTCATGACTCATATATACCTGTTTCACATAATTCAGCCACTTTTATCTTGTATCTCTTTAACTGTTTAATAATTAATTGTTGTTTATGGTAATAGAAATAGGAAATTTAATGTCTTATCGAAAGGTGGCTACTGGCAGCTCAGGCTCTCATATCTACTACTTTTAAGACAAACATAGATCCCTGTGGAAGTTTTAAAACCTCCTGGCAGGGTTGAATTTAAAGAGAAGCTTGTACTAAAGAGAGAAATTAAGATATTAAATGGTGACAGTGATATAGAATGACACGATTTATGCAGCTGATTAGTATGTAAACTGAAGTATTGAGATCGATATGCCATGCGTTCAGTTTTCGTTAGTTCTATTTAGAAAATCTTGAAAAGATCCTGTCAAAAAACTGGTAATATCTTCGAGGAAACCTGATCGAATCGTGAAAGGGATGACCAGAATTATTTTCTAATTTCGAATCATTCAAATACAGACAGAATTCTACAATTTTGTAGCTACACATTTTTTTGAGGACTTAGCCGTTTCCTCCGGAAAACACAGTGAATACTTGTCGACCGTGATCATATCCGTTACGGCTCTGATACTGGAACATGATAAAAGTTCCATAGATCTATGCATGTTTTTATAATAATCGTTATGAACGTTAATATTCTTGATAATAATGATTATCATCATGTAGGCTGTGTCAATTTTTATTATTTGTTTTAAACTTGTTTGTATGGAATTCGTTGATTGAAAACTTAGTAGTTGACTAGTATGCTCAAGATAATATTCTAGACCATTAGTTTTTTTTTGTTTTGACTTTTATTAATAAAAAGCCGAAAAAGTACTAATGGAATAAAGCTACATGAATTGCTGATAAATACAGAAAACAATAAATAATATTCTATGTTAAATATTTGAATGTGCTGAATAGTAAAATGAAATTCGATGGAAGATAAACATTTTAGTATATCATGAAGTAATATATTATTCGGTAAATACAATTAGAAGCCCAAAAGCATGTGCTCTGTTTTTGGTCATAGCGTTCATATTTTTTTAAGTTATCAATCTATTGTCATTATACCTTAATAGACAAAAAAATTCAAAAACGATGATGAGTTAGATTCGACTCATTGATGATCACTGAATATGAATGTGGATGCTTCCTACACCATATCAAACTGGCATCGAGTGAATCTGATTTCCAGTAGGATATAAGGTGAAGGTAAGGACCTATGTCGCAAGGATCGGGTCTGAAGCCCAAACTGTTATGAAGATGAGCCTTCACTAGAATGAGATCTGCAATCCAGCTGCATGCTAACGAGGAAATGTTTCGAACTAATAAGCGTCGTTCGAGCTCATGTATTGTTGATAGTTGAGATTGATCGTCTATATAAATTATCCAAAAGAATTCGTGCCATTGCTGCTTGGCTTCAGAATTAGGAACCGAACAAGTATTATGGTAGTTGGCGCCAGCTTCTCTGAGTTATTTGTTTATCGTCTCGTATTTTTACTAGAAAATAAATTTTTCCGTTCAAAATCTGATTACTAAACTATCTTGGTTGTTACAATTCACCCTTAAATTGTCAGTTGAATCTAATTTGGCTTTCAGACGGAAGAAAACAGGAGTTCTTGTATTGGTTCTTCTATTTCAAACAAATAAAACGCTATGCACTGTCGTCGAAGAAAAAAAAATGCTTTACGCTTCATAGAACAGAATCCTCTTGTTCTATCCTACTAAGTTTTTCAATTTTGTATTTGAATGTGGAAGCTTTGTTTCATGCACTTTTTTTGAAAAATATCATCATTACACATAGACCAGTACCCTTCCTCGAGCGTTTATTTCATTTGGCTGGGTTTCGTTGTATGCTTTTTAAGTCATTTGTGAAAGGACAAATACTTTAACTGTTTTTCATTTTGCTGTTCTTTTCTTCTACAGGAAATCAAAGGAAACCGTAGAAATCTTCCTTGGGCTTGAGGTTGAAAAGAATAAAAGTGATTATCCAAAAAAAAGGAAATCAGGAATGTTCTCTATCTCAGACGCAGAGTCAGATTCAACGAAGATTTTAAGAGTGAATAGTCACAGAAAAGATAAGTTGGTGATCAAATTTTCGGTAGAAAAATGTATTTCCTAGGTAAGACACAAAAAGAAAAAGTAATGACATAGAGAAGGTGGAACTACCTACTATGAAACTTGTTCCTCTCTACGCACTGCTGCGTGCAGCAATGGTGGGAATCCTTTTGGATAAGTTGTATAAATGATCAACTTTAACCACTAACAAAGTATGGGCGCGAGCAATGCATATCAGCTGCGAATGTTCACTTGTAAGAGAGAATTCGAGCGTGACAGGATCGTAAGAGGCTTACAGAATTCTTACAGAAACTTGGAGAGCTATTGGGTACAGTTCTAAAACCCGAACTTTACGGAAGCCGAGCCAGAGTAGTGGTCCCAAATCGCGTCTGTAACGAGCACTGTAGTTAGGATCGAAGCTGCTACTGTAATTGAGAATGTAATCCAATTTGAAGTACAATCTGAAGCCGAGATCTCCTATCTGAGAACAGAAATCGACCGTAACTGCTGTAAAAATGAGTACTGGTCCATGAAAAACTTTAGAATGGTACAGAACAACGAGTGAAAGCTGGACGAGAAGTTAGGTTTGACAGAGCCTGCACTAAACACAACCAGTCCGATAGACCTTGATATCAAGGTTGACATTGATACTGTGAGTTGTGTCTCAAGCTGACTTCTCACCGAGATGGGCAGGAGATTGATGATTTGAACTGCGACTTAAACGAAAATCACGATTGGAAAAGAAATCTTAATCAAAGCAAGAATACACACAACGATGATAGCTGAGGCACCTGCTGAAAGTGAGGCCCTAGTTTCTGCAGGGATCGGAAAGGATCCTGAGTCGAAGACTTCAGCCGAACGTCCATCTTTGACGAGGAACATGACCATGCGCAGGAAATGCTTCCAAAAGTGGCATTAAAAGCCAGTATCTTCTGTCATAGGTATACGGGACGTTTGAGCTTGATTTTAACAGGATCAACGGTATTAAACAGCATACTATTGTTTGTGAAGCCTTCACATTTTACATACTATGGGCTATTTAATTTCAGTCTGAATTTATCAAATAAAAATAATACTTGATTTCAAACTGAAACGTGAGTCTAGGAGTGAGGGAGGGGGGTGACTGAGGGTGTGGGTGTTGGTCTGGGACCCACACACACACCCACACCCATGGTGCGGGTGTGGGCGCGCGAGTGAGGGTGAGGGTGTGCTTGTGGTTTTGTGTACTATAGGCTTTAGTCCCCTGCACAAGGGACTAAGCGGGGACTAAGCTTTTTGTGGGGGGGACTAAGGGGGACTTTGCAGGACTAGGGGGGACTAAGGGTTTTTAGTGAGACTACGTAGTATCAAGCGAGAAAAGTTTGATTCGGAAGAAATTGGTGTGGTTTTTTTGATTTTGGAATTCAGTTTGAAATAAAAAAGCCCATAGACTCACATTTTACCTATTCTGTGCAATGATAGGAAGAAAAACAAATAAAGCCGTGGTATAATGCACATTTTTCCAACCATCGATTAACTCTCTCTCTCTCTTCGTCAATTAAAATGTGTGATCGAAAAGTGATAGAACAAGCAAAGTAATGAAAATATTTGTATGACAAAAGAAAGCCATGTGTTTCAATACTAAATGATCACGCTTTATCCCACGTATACGGTTGAATGCGCGCAAGCCAAACATTTTTCGATATGCACATAAGCAAAGTAATGCTTTCATTTTCTTTATTAAACAAAGCTGATACATTACCAACGTATTATACTCTTCATCAAAAAACTTGTCGCAACAATAGAAGAAGCAAACGTAAGTCTTTTGAAATTGCAGTCTCTTTCGAAAGTCCTTTTACTCTATCAGTATTCAGAAGATTTTTCTATCCTTAAGTAATACTACTAACGAGATAACGCTTCCTTTACATTCGTATTAAGCTCATGCATAGGAGACTATTAGATTAGAATAATCATCAAATAAATCGTGCTCTTGTTGAAATTCGTGCGAAGCTTC